CAGAGGGGTTTAAAGACCGAAGGAGAACTCCCGTGCCCAGTGCCTGTTTGCCCTTCCCCTGGGCCCAGTCCGTGAGGCCAGGGTGGGAGTCCCCTGTGCTCAGCTCCTGGGGGTGAGTCCACAGGGTCCCTGGGAACTGGAGGGGGTGGGGGGCTGAGGCAGGGGCCAAGGTCAGCCTCCTTGTATAGCTGGGTTAGCCCAGCTTCTAACTGCCCTCGGCCCAGGCAGACGTGAAAGTAAATAATGACTACGGCTTTCTTGTGTCTTCCCTCCTAAATCCTTGTCCCCACCCTTGGTCTGCAGGAAATAGCAGACACTTCCAGTGGCGACAAGTCTTCCCTGGAGACACGGTTCATGATGATCCTGTGCACGCGTAGCTATCAGCACCTCCGGAGAGGTGAGGCCTGACTCCCCCTCCTTTCCCAAGGCAGCAGGAAGATCCCCAAGTCTTAACAAGAGTGGCTAATTGCCCACTCGCCCACTCCTTACCCCAGCAAGGGAGTATTGTGGCCCCTGGGGATGTAGGACCCCCGGCGCCTGGTCCTGGCTCTACTGCTAACACGTCATTCGGCCTCGGGCCAACTCCCTCACCTCCTTAGGAAGCACGTGGGGTGCCTGGGAGAAGGGATCAGGCGGCTTTTGCCTCTAAAGCCAACTGCAGTGGGTTGGTAGTGGCTGCCTAGAATGCTGTGTTGAGAAGGATTCGAAGATTCTGTGTCATGAATCTTTGGCGATGTCTGCCAGGAGCAAGGCAGTGAGGAGTGAATATGGCACAAGAACCACATACATGTCTTTGAGCCACAGGCTGCCACATGCACAGGGCACACCTGCATGCAATGGCCCTGACACTAAGTGATGGTGAAGTGGCCTTACCACTCAGACAGTGACGTTTTAATAAGCATGTGCCTGGCATGCTAAGGTGCTTTAGCACAGTAAGTAAAAGAACCGTCTTGGGAGCTGGGCTGCCTTGATTCGATTCTCCCACTTATCAGTCGTGTGACCCTGGGCAAGTTACTAACTATCTGTGCCTTCATTCCCTTACCTGCAATGTTGGGACGTTAAGTCTACCTTACATGACTGTGTGAGGATACAAAAAATAAATACACAAAAAGCACTTAGCACAGTGCCTGGCCCCTGGTAACTTCCTCAGTTTATCGTTGTGATTACTTAACGTTAATCTCTATCCCACCTTGACTCGGGAGGAAGGGGAGGCCCAGAAAGGGGAGGGGTTCACCCAAGGTCATTGGCTGAGCCTGGGGCAGAGCTGTGACTAGGACGCATGCTCCTACTACCCCAGCCCGGGTCCCTGGAACTTGTCTGAAGCTCTGGGGCAGTGTATGACTTGATACAGGGAAGGCTTGAGGTCAGAATGTTCCTGTGACAATAGTCCTTCCTGCCCAAATAAGCATTTAAGCCTGGGCTGTGGCCATACCTGTTGCCCCTTTCCACTTTTCCAGGGCACAGCCTCTGCGTAAAGCTGGGGGTGGGGGAGGGGAGATCTACCCACCCCACCTCAGAGTTGGAGCTCACCCCCCACCTCTGGGGCTTCTCTTGGGGGCAGTCTTCCAGGAGTTCGTCAAGATGACCAACTATGACGTGGAGCACACCATCAAGAAAGAGATGTCTGGGGATGTCAGAGACGCTTTTGTGGCCATTGGTAACTGGCGGGGACCACGGGAAAGGGCTGGGGGGCACAGGGAACACGGCCAGATTCCCTGGATGAGTGTGGTCTTTCTAGCATCCTAAGCTACTCTAGTACTGGAAAGTAAACACTGCCACTTCTCAGGGTCTGCCCATGTGTGATTGGCGGGGTCGCAGGAAGACTTGTTCCAGGCTCGGGGCAGGATGAGGAAATAGCTCTCTAGGGCAGTGGCTAGAGGGGGGTGGCAGGGTTGGGTAGGGTGCGGTGTCCTGCAGGACTAGGGTGTGTACACACACACACACACACCCTTCCCTCCTCCCAGCACTTAGATCCCTCTGGTTACTCTCTTATTGCATAATTTGGGTTCTTGACTTTGAAAAAGTCTTTCTTCTTTTGGATCTCAATTTCTCCATGTATACAAACGGATGAGTAGATATGAGCAGAGGTTGAACTGGTTTTGATTAGCATTAGTGATCAGCAGTATCTTATTTTATTACTATAAAATACATTGCATTGTTGCATATTTTAAAAAAATCTTATCTGGAGATGTCAGTGGAAGGTTTTCACATAACTGCTGTCAATTATAAGATGCGTCTTGATTTCAGGGACTTCAAATGCAGGGAAAGGTGTTTTAGAACAGACGAATCAGTTGTTAATTGTTGTGATATTGCTGTTTAGCACTCAGTGCGTCTTTACCACCTGGGGCAATACCCAGGAGGCAGAGTAGCATAGTGAATCTAGGTAGGATCCCTGCTCTCCCACTTACTAGCTGTACAGCTATGTCCTTGGGCGGGGCACAGAAAGCTATGCCTCAGTTTCCTTCTCTGTAAAATGGACATAATAATAGTATCCAGATTTAAATGAGTTAGTTACACATAAAACAGTTAGAACACTGCCTCCTGGCGCATGGAGTGCACTGATAAATGTTGCCTTTTATTATTTCCTGCCAGGCCCTGTGTGAAGTCAGTTGCACGTGGCTTTGGTTGAATCCGTACCAGCTGATTTTATCAGCTTATTTTACACAGTGGGAGGCTGAGGTTCGAAGAGGTTACGTGTCTGTAGTGGGACAAGACTCACATCAGAGGCTGCCTGAGCCCAATTCTCATGCTTGTACTAATCCCCAGAATAACTGGTCTGTGGAGACACATTCAGATCTTGCCCTCGTATTCCTCCCTCTGTCCTCTCCCCTCCCACCTGGAACATGTACATGTGTGCTTGTACGCATGCGTACACACACGCACTCACACACACACGCCCCACTCCACCTCACTCCATCCTGTGGCAGGCCCCGGGGTCCTCTGAGGCAGTTGGGCGGCCTTCAGGTTCTGGGGAAGGTTTTCAGGGTTGGTTGCAATGGATGGAAGTTTCTGCCCAGTCTGTTCCTTACCTAGACTGACCGAGCTCCAGGCGTGGAGTCAGGGCAGGCTCCTTGGAGGAGGTGACACAACTGGAGGTGTGGATTTGGGGAGGTAAAGTAGTGGAGGGCAGAAGGAAACTTCTCCTTCCTGGGAGGACAAAGGCACAAAAGAATTCATAGAATGTTAGGGAAATAGGGGAACAGAGGCAGTGAGAGAACAGAGGGAAACAGGAGCTTTGATTTCCAGGCCAAAGAGCTTGGAGTTGGTTTGGGAGCTACAGCAGGAGCAGGGAAGGTTGGTGTATGGTGTGATCTTTCCCACGGGTTCCCGAGTTTGCCACAGGTGGGGGTACATGCCTGTCACCTGTGTGGCTGTGCCCTTGGGATCCACAACTCCAGCCTCACCCGCTGCCCTCCTCATAGAGACACTTTACATCCAGAGTCATTCTGGCTTCCGGGTCCTGGCGTCTAATTCCTCCTCCTGAAGCTGTCTGAGACACCCCTACTTGAGCTCTGTAGCCTGGGAATCCAGCAGCTGCTCAAATCCACATCCTTGAGAACCCGGGGCTGGGGTTGGTACAGCCAGGCCGGCAGTATCTGATACGGGGCTGGGTGGTAAACAGGGGCTTCCAATGAGGGAGGAGTGTGCAGCCCATGGATTGGCACAGTGCCCTAGGTTATACTGACAGACACTCATTCTCTGGCAGAGTGTTTTTCTCAGTAGTTCTCAAGTGTTAAGCTGCACCAGAGTAGGGTGGCCACCATCCAGGTTTGTACTAAAACCAGCAGTGTCCCAGGCAAAGTGGGGTGAGTTGGTCACCCACCTTCAGAGTCACAGATTCAGCACACCCAGGGTGGGCCACGAGATTTTGCTTTTCTACCGAGTTCCCTGATGATACTGGTGCCTTCTAGGAACTATACTTTGAAAACTGCTGCTTGAAACATTTCTTGAATCTGAGTCTCTAGGGTGGAGCCTACAACCTGAGTTTTAAACACGTTCTCCTTTGATTCTGGTGCACTTAGAAGTCTGAGGCCCTGTGCCTTGGCTTCACCGGCGGTTTCTTCCCTTTGAGTCCTCCACCAGCCTTGGTTAGCTGCCAGCACTGTAGCAGGAAGCGAGTCGCAACCCAGCGAGAGCCAGGCCTAGAGATGAGATAGAGGAGGCGGCATCAAGAAGGGGGAGTGAAGGCGTGGGACACGGGTGTGACCCTGGCCCAGGGTGCGGGGAGAGGGGGTCCTACCTCTGTAGCAGCAGCAGCTGCCCATGGTCTAGGTACACCTCCTCTGACTGATCTCCTTGCATCTCTTTCCTCTTCCTACCAGTTCAGAGTGTCAAGAACAAGCCGCTCTTCTTTGCCGACAAACTTTACAAATCCATGAAGGTAAGAAAACCTGCTTGCTTGTTCCTTTCCCTTTGAGCGTTTCTGCCCCCACAAACAGATGTGCTCCATCCCCCAGATCAGGGCTTGTGGCTGCTTCCACCCATTTGATATTTACCAGCCTCCACTCCACGTCTGGCTCTAGGGTAGTAGTTCTCAGTGGGGGGTGACATTACCTCTCTAGGGAACATTTGACGATGTTCAGACGCATCTTGGTTGTCACAGCTTGGGGAGTGTTGCTGCTGGCATCTGTCTGGTGGGTGGAGAGCAGGGGTGCTGAGCATCCTGCAGTGCACAGGACAGATCCCCAAGCACAGGATGATCTGGCCCCAGAGGCCAAGGTTAAGAAACTTGTTCTGGGGACGCAGGGCTGAGTAGGACAGTTTCTGCCCCCTTGGAGCTCACATCCTCCTCGGTGACACAGTGTCTCCTGTGACAGATGATCACAAAAGGAAGCAAGTGCTCAGCTCTGGGACTAGCCCTGGCTTCCTGAAAACCCAGGCCACTCTGGCCACCCTGCCAGCCCTGCAGGTGGAGTTCTAGCTGTTGACAGAGCTCAGGCAGGCTCCCTGGGACCCCTCTCAGCCTGCTGTCCCCAAACATGATAGCCCTCACTGTGTGCTGGCTCTGACCCTTCAGCTGGTGTTCCAAGCCCCCTGGGGACAGAGGTGGGCCATGGCTGCCCATATGTTCTTTGTCCTGTATCTCCTTCTTGGGCCCTGTAGTAGTTTCCCAGAACTGCTGTCACGAATTGAGTGACAACAAAAATGTGTCCTCTCATGGGTCTAGGGGCTGAAAGTCCAAAATGAAGGAATCAGCAGGATTGGGTCCTTCTGGGGGCTCTGAGGGAGCCTTTGTCCCAGGCTCGAGTGGTCGCCTGGAATCCTCGTGTTTCTTGGCTTGGATGCATCCCTTGGTCTCTGCCTTTGTCCTCACGTGGCCTTCTATTTGTGTGTGCCCTCGTGTCCTCCTCTTACACGGACACCAGTCATTGGATCCAATGCAATGTGACCTAAACTAATGACATGTGCAAAGACCCTCTTTCCAAATTAAGTCACATTGGAAGGTTCCAACTGGCCATGAGTTTGGGGGGCCGTTGTTGCCTTTCTTGCCCAGTCTTTGGGACAGGGGAGTTTGGGACAGGACTGTTTGTGGAAGATTGGTTTTGGAGGGAAAAGGGAGGGGGCAGATGGACACCCATGAGTTCCTGCCTGACCTGGTTCCTCCTCCTGCCCTGTGTCTTCCTCTCGCCTGGCACCACCAGGGTGCTGGCACGGATGAGAAGACCCTCACCAGGATCATGGTCTCCCGGAGTGAGATTGACCTGCTCAACATCCGGCGGGAGTTCATTGAGAAATACGACAAGTCTCTCCACCAAGCCATTGAGGTAAGGGGCGGGCTTAGAGGTGAGGGGGGGAAGGGTGAGTGAGAGATCCCTGAATATAGGTTAGAAGTCCTTTCCATTCCCAGTGAGTCACCTCTTAGAACAGTCAGGACACTGCTGAGTAAGAGGAGGCCTGGCCCACTGCTTATACCAAGATAAATTCCAGATGGATCAAAGGTTTGTAACGAAAGATTTCTAAGTAAAGCAAGAGCCTTATTATTTTTTTTGCTTTTGAAAAGCGATTTTATTGAAGTAAAATTTGCATCTATAAAATTCACCTGTTTTAAGGGTATACAGTCAATGATTTTCAGTAAATTTAATGAGTTGTGCAGCCACCCCCACAATCAGTGTTAGAACGTTTTTATCACCCCACTAAGATCCTTTATACCTGTTCACCTATTCACACCCCCAGCCCTGGGCCACCTTCAGGTGACTTTCTGTCTCTATTGCCTTTTCTGATTATTTCATATAGATGGAATTATGAAATATGTGATCTTTTATGTCTGATTTTTTTCATTTACAAAGCCCATTTTATAGCTTTGAGACTGGTCAAGATCTTAAACTCTGATGCTGTACGTGGTTGACAAGACGCTGGGAAATCTCACAGGCAGTCTCACACAGACTTGGTGGAGATGTAAACTGATAGCACATATTTATTGTTTTTCTCCAGTTTTATTGAAATATAACTGACATGTAGCACTATACAAGTTTAAGGTGTCCAGCATGGTCATTTGACTTCTATACATCATGAAGTGCTTATCACAGTCACGTGAGTGAACATCCATCATCTCACGCAGACACAAAACTAAAGAAATAGATTTTGTGCGTGTGTGATGGGAATTCTTAGGATTTACTCTGTGAGCTTTCATTCATAACATACAGCAGTGTTAATTATAGTCATCATGTTGTACATTACACCCCTAGTACTTATTCATCGTACAACTGGAAGTTCATACCTTTTGACCACCTTCATCCTGTTCTTCCTCTCCCATCCCTCAACTTCTGGTGACCACATATCTGATCTCTGTTCCTTTGAGTTTCTATGTATGTTTGTTTGTTTTGAAGTATAGTTGACCTACAACGCTATGTTAGTTCCTGTTACACAACATAGTGATTTTTTTCTGTACATTTCAAAATGATCACCAGGATAAGTCTACTTATGCTGTGTCACCAAAGAAAGATATCAGTTATTGACTATATCCACACACTGTACATTTCATATCCATGAATTATTTATTTTGTAACTACAAGTTTGTAGCTCTTAATCTCCCTCACCTATTTCTTTCCTCCCCTCTCCCTCCTCTCCTTTGGCAACCACCTGTTTACTCTCTGTATCTATAACTCCGTTTCTGTTTTGTTAGGTTTGTTCATTTATTTTGTTTCTTAGATTCTCCATATAAATGAAATCATACAATATTTACCTTTCTCTGTCTGACTTAGTTCACTTAGCAAAACACTCTCTAGGTCTCTCTTTGTTGTTGCAAATGGCAAGATTTCATTCATTTTTTATGGCTGAGAATATTCCATTATACATATATACCACACCTTCTTTATCCATTCATCTATTGACAGGCCCTTGGGTTGCTTCCGTATCTTGGCTATTGTAAATGATGCTGCAGTGAACATAGCGGTGCATGTATCTTTTCTAATTAGTATTTTTGTTTTCTTTGAATAAACACCCGGGGTGGAATTGCTCAGTCATAAGGTAGTTCTATTTTCAGTTTTTTGAGGAACCTCCATTCTGTTTTCCGTAGTGGCTACACCAATTTACATTCCCACCAAGAGTGCACGTGGGTTCTCTTTTCTCCATATCCTCACCAGCACTTGTTATTTGTTGTCATTTTGATAATAGCCATTCTGACAGCTGTGAGGTGATACCTCCTTGTTGAGTTAAACTAGTAGTACATCTTTAAAGGGTAGTTTGGCAGTCTCAAAATTTTAAATGCATATACCTTGGACTTGATAATTCTACTTATAGGAATTTATCCTCGAGACATAGCCACATGTGTTCTCAAAGACATGTAAGAATATTTATGCCAGCATTTTTTATAGTAGCAAAAGATTGGCAGTCCTTCACACAAAACTGGTTAAATAAATTATGGTACATCTATATGATAGAATACAATACAGCCATGAAAAGTGTGAGGAGGCTCTACGTGCTAATTTGGGATCTTCTCTAAGTGAAAAATTATGGCCCAGAATAATACGAATGCCGTGCAGAGAAGGAATATTATATACATATACATATTTGTATATGCATATGGAAATTCACTGCTAGAAAATCATACAAGTAAATGTAATAGTGGCTACCTCTTTAGAGAATTAGGGGGTCGGGGTGGGAGGGAGACTTTTATTGTATAATCCTTTGATTTGAATTATTTATAATGATTATATATTTTTTTAATCATTTATCAAAAATTATAAAAACAAAAAAATTGAAAAAATATATGGTAAAAATGGCAGGCGCCCCTCTAAAAAGAGGGAGGAGGTCTGGTTCCTCCAGCCCTGTTGTATATCAGACATTATGACATGTCATAAGCCCAGTGATGTTCACATAAATTCCTGCAAAAGCCAGGCACCTAGTAAGTGCTCGATGATGTTTCTTCAAATAAGGAACGTGTTACAACACATGTGTTAATGGGGAGGGTATTAGAGTACAGGGGAGCCAGGGGAGGAGGGAATTCACTCTGGCTGAGGCAAGAATAGAGCAGGAACACCTCACAGAGGAGGGGGCATCTGATGGCAGACAGGATGCAGGGCTGGTGCAGAGGGCGTGCTGGACGGAGGAATGGTTTTTATAGGCAGAAAGATGACCATGATGCTCCTGGAAGGAAAGGGGCAGATGAAGCCACAGAGCTTCACGAAGGTCAGACCACAAAAGGCCTTGAAGCCAGGCTGAGAGCTTGGACATTTTCCCAGGGATAACGGGAGCCACAGAAGGGACAGAGCCACAGTTACGTGTTAGGGAGACACCCAGGCTGACAGCAGCTGGGAGGAGGGGGACTTGAGGCCATCAGGATGGTTTCACTCACCGTGCCCTCCCTCTGCCCCTTCCAGGGCGACACCTCTGGGGACTTCCTGAAGGCCTTGCTGGCTATCTGTGGAGGCGAGGACTAGGACCACCGGCACTGGCGGGCACCTCTGCCGAGCGACGGTCAGCAGCACCACCCGCCACCACCCAGTCTGACTGCTCCGTTCCAGCTCCAGAGACTAAGGAAGGGATGGGGCGGGGGCGGGGGTGGGGTGGGCGCTCGTCTTCAACTGGGGTTTAGGAAAGGCTGCTGCTCCCGCGAGCCACTGAGGGCCCAGCACGGTCGCTCTTGCTCACGTCTGAGCGGCTGAAGAACCGTAACCATTGATCCCGTCCGCCTCCGCTCCCCATCTTCCTCCTCACACCTTCCTAGCTTCTGTGCCTCATCACAGCCCCTGTCCTGGTTTGGGCTTTGTCAAATTCAAAAACATACTGAGCCTTTGTCTGTGAAGTGAGTGATGTGTGTGCTTCGCATGGTGGGGTGTGGTGGCAGGTGCCAGTGGAGTGTCCTGGGGGAAGGAGGGAGACAGTAAGTGTCTCCCAGCAGTTCCGCTGCCTCCGTCCTGGTTGCTAGAGCCCTGAACCCTGGGTCCAAATACCTGGGTTCAAATTTGCTCCGCCACACACTTGCCTTATGACCTTGAGCCAATCTCTTTCCCTCCCTGAGTCTCTATTTAATTACCTACAAAATGAGAGAGTTTGACAAAACGATCCGGGCTTTCTCTTCTAACACTGACATTCTAGGATGTGCCTCCACACCATTTCCTTTCCACGTCTTCTCTCTGTAAATAAAAAGAGACATGCAGACACATAAATACATTTCTAAAGGGGATCTGTTTTTGTGACCTAGAGCCTGCAGCCTGGATTGTCCTCGTTAGACCCCGAGGTGTTAACCTGCCCAGGAGGGAGTTCTGTCTTCCTACCCCTTCTGGGAATCCCAAATGGGGGTCTGAGCGTGGGTCCAGCCTGGGAGGCCTGGCCCAGCCTGCTCTCTCCCCTCTGCTGCCTGGATGTTTCTCTGTGCACCCTGCATCCATTACAACCGAACCTACACTTCCTCTTTTGAACTCTTCAGGGGCGCCAGATGCGATTGTGATCTGGGGAGGCCTGTGGAAAGTTTCCACTTGGTGAAGATCGGTGATAAGCAGGCGATCAGCCGCAGTTTCTCCGTCTCCCTGGCCCCAGCTCTGTTTCTGCTTGAGACTCAGATCTAAAGTTCCCCAGCAACCACGGCACGTGGGTGCCTGCCGGCTGGAGGGCTGCGCTCCCCGCCCTGGCTGACCTGCCCTCTCCTGCAATTCAGAGTGTGTTTATTGCAGTAGCTGAGCGGAGAATGAGGTGGGGGTTGGGAAACGTGCTGGGTCTGGCCTTGCATGACCTTGGGCCAGCCACTGCCCTCACTGGGCCTCAGTATCTCCATTGGTACAGTGAGGGCTTGGACCCAAGAGTTTTGAAATGCCTTCTCTTCATCTCTGACTTAACAAGTCTGAAAGTAAGACAGTCACCTTGTGTCTTCCCCACTTCCTTCCCTCCACCAGGCCGTGAGCTCAAACCCCGTGAGGGTCAGCTGAAAGCTAGTTTGGGTATTTGCCCAACTTGATTTAACTGTTACCAAAGATAAATTAACACCATGGTTCAGAGCTGTGGAGTCAGACCTTGGCCACTGACGGCCCGTGAGCGTGCCATCTCTCCGAGCCTCAGTTTCTTCATCTGTAAGACAAGGACCAGTTCCACCTAGCTCACAGCCTTCGTGGGGTACGGGAGATGACCCGTGGAAGTTTGCAGTGGGGGCCTGCCTGGCTTGGAGTCAGCTGCCAGCACCACCTGCCCTGAGCCAGGCCCGATTGTAGGAACCAGGAGGTGGCCCCCGAGATGTTTTCTTGAGCTTTGTTTTCAAAAATGTGTCAGCTGCAGATCACAGAAGCATCCAAAGACATACGAAAGTGCCTTAAAATATGCCCTGAGGGAAAAATAGGCTGGAATGGAAAGGAAAGTGATGGAATCCAAGGCAGTAGAAGTGGGGAGGCCCCATGAGGCCAAGGGGGAACATACAAGTGGAAAAACCAGGAATTTCTAGAATTCCGAGAAACCAGGAAAGAGGATAGTTCAAAGGGAGCGCCACTATGTATAAGACATCATTCTAATCCCTCAACATGTGGTTTGCATTGAATTCTTAAAGTGTATTGTGTTCTGGGCTTGGTCAGTAGTAGGAGGGAGATGAGATTAGAAAGGGGAGTTTGCATCCAATTATAGAGGACCTTGTATGTCAGGATTTTCTCTTATAACCCAGGGTGAGCCTTTGGAGGTTCTTGGGTGGGGAAGGTATACATCTAAGCATGCATTTAAGGCAAGTCCATGAAGGAAAAGTGGCCAGTTGGGAGGCTATTACAGTAATCCCACGGAGTCCCAGGTGCCTGCAGAACAAACCACATTTTTTTCTTGGAGCTGTGGCAAAGGAGGGACTAGCCACTATTCTGAATCCAAGCCCTCGCATTCATTCATTTATTCATCCATCCATCCACTCGTGCAGCCCCTTGTTGAATGCCTTCTACGTGCTAGATGCTAAAGATATGAAAAGTTAGACCATCATGGTCCTAATCCTTAAGAGCTTCTGTTCCAGTGTCCCTCCCACCCAGCTCTCTGCAGAACACCATATTAGATGACACTGGAGGTTGTTTCTGTGGCCAAAGTTCAACTGAGAGAAGTGGTGGGGACTAAATTAAAACTAAAAGGAAAGGGAAAGCAGAAGACCAGACTACCACTGTCTCAAAGAGGGAGGACAGGAGGATGGTCCCGATGCTCTAAGTGTGGACGGGGCTTCAGGAAGTCTCACCTCCCTCAGCCAGACTGACAACTGCCACCTCCCGAGAGAGGAAGCAACTGGCCGCAGGTCATAAAGCCTTTCAGCGGCAGACAGAACTGGAACCCTGCAGTCCTGGCTTCGGTCCAATGCTTTTATAAACACCATGTACGCCCTTCCATTTTGTTCATTCCTCCCCTCCGAGAGGGCTTCAGCCCACAGTCAGCCTCCCTCCAGCTCCTCACTGCTCCCCTCCCGCCTGGAGCTGTGCCTCTCCCATTTTCAGCAGCTCTGGACTGGGATGCACCCACCTTGGTTTTGGGGCCACGAGGACATGTCTAAAGAAAGTGGCTGGTTGGGAAGAGGTTGCCCTTTTAAAACCCAAGCAGAGAGCAACTATTTGGGAATTGCCACTGTTACATTTCCTGCTGTTGGAGAGCGTTGTGGGAACTGTGGGCTATTTAAAACATGCTGATGTATATACTGTGTCCCGGCTCTGCTGAGAACATGCGTCATCGCCAGAGTAATCCCGCAGGAGACGCTCCCCCCCATGGTAATCCTCCACTGCAGCGCAGGGGTAGCACCCTCATTCTAACAACGAGGCAACTGAGGGTCCAAGTGGTGACACAGATGGCCTGAAGATAGAGGCAGCACATCACGGACTTACTGAACTGGATGTGGTCTTAGAGGAAGTGGTCTTAGATCCCAGCCAACTCTCTTATTTCATAAATCTGGAAATTGAGGCTCACAGAGCAGGACCATGGCCGTGGTTTACTAAGGGCTAGATCTGTGACGAACACCTCGTCTCCTGATTCCTACTCTGCTGTCTCCGCTGACATATCCTCCTCTTCCCTCTGATGGCAGAAATCTGACTGAACAAACGGGAGGGAGAAGTGTCAAGTTGCCCAACCCGAATTTCAGAACCCAGAAGCGGTAAATCACCACTCCAACATGCCTCCCCACTCCCCTCAGACCTCAGGTTTCCTAAGGGCACTTCCCCACTTCACAGCTGGTGTTAGGCAAGCGGGAAATTCTGGTTCTATCACGGAGCCCTCTACTCAGTAGTTAGATCTATGGGAAGGAAGCGGGCAGGCCGCCCTGGATTCGAATCCCAGCCAAGCATGGGGTGAGTCACTGGCCTCTCAATGCCTTGACATCTCCATCTGTAAAGTGAGGATGACAAAGGCTTCTATCTCACAGGGTTGTTGTGAAGACAAAATAAGGCAATGTGTGTGCATCTGCGAGCACACTGCCCGGGACACAGCAAGGACTCAATACATATCAGCTCTTTGTTATTAATAAACAGGCTGGATTCCATTTCCCAGCAGAGGAAGGCTTAGAGAGGGGGAGTCTTAACAGCCTCAGATGATTAACTGAGTCCCTCCCTACCCTCGAAAGCGAAGGGGGGAAAGATTAGAAAAATTCAAGCACAAAGTAGCAAGGGGTACCAAGTGCAGAGGCCACAGATTAACCACAGAGAGGCCTGAAAAAGACTCCCTGGAAAGGGGGCACATGAGAGGCACCTCAAAAGATGGGTCGAGAAGCTCTCAACAGTAAAAGATGGAAGGAGGGAGAGAGTTCCAGGCAGGGCCAACTTGAGCAAAGGCACAGAGGTGGGAAGCGGAGGCAGTGGCATGTGCTCCTGGGGACCCTGGGCCCCACACCCAGTGTGAGGACAGCATCTGGGAATGCCACAGAGAGTCCAGGCTGGAGTGCGGCCTTTACCCTCGGGGCCCTGGCCAGCCCCTGAATGGGCTAGGAGTGGGAGTAGTATGATCAGAGATGTCCTTTAGAAAGCCATCTCTGGGGCCCTCGGCAGAGGAGGAGACCAGCCCAGTGGCCGGGAGACCATTGGACAGGCTTGCAGCTCTTCCCCGGATGCGGAGGGATGGGGATGTGGGCCAGGGCAGGGGAAGCAGAGACAGAGAAAAGAGAAGAAAGACAGGGAAGCAAGGGACCCAGGAAACTGCCTGACCTGCTGTGAAGAACAAGAGAGGGAGGCCACAGTGAAGTCAGGTGTCATCACCTTGGAACCGAGAGGTGAAAAGTGCTTTAGAGCAGGAAGAGGACCCCGGTGCGGGCCACCTCACCACCCACTTCCCTGCAGGGTGAGGACTGAGGAGGCCCTAAACCAGAGCCACCTGGGAATGGGCCCTTCCCCGGGCCCAGCTGTTGCAGCAGTTAACAGAACAAACATTTCCCCCTGTGGGATGGTCCCCCCCCCCCACCTGTTGTCCTGCTGGCTGCAGCCAGAACCCCCTGGCGGCTGCCTCACTGAGATGCCATGGACCTTGACCTGGAGATAGCCCTGGGCGGGGATGGGAGGGTGGGGGGTGACACAGAGATCCCAACCTTTGTAGGGCCAACCATTTCCACTCCCACTTTCCCACACATCTGGTATCCACTCAAAGCCCCTAAGCACTCCTTACCACACACACAGAATTCCAAGTCACCACCTGGCATCCCCACAGGGACACACACACTGAGTACCCAGAACGAGAAGCACATGCTGACGCCAGAAAGAAGAATGATTAGGCCCACAAATACACTGGTCACAAACAGAAAGACAGACTGCTGGCCACAGACGCACTGCTGGCCGCACAGGAAAGGCCTCACACAAGTACTCAAACTTGCTTTTCACACCCACTCCCTGGGGTGTGTGCACGTTCCCGCTTTTCTTGGCACACAGCCTTGGTGTGCAGCACACAGCTCCCGGGACCTGGGACCCGCCGGCCCTGTGTCCGTTCCTCCTTCTGTTCTTCCACAGGAAGAGACAGACTTTGAGCCTAATTGCCCTGATTTGAGCTCTGGGGAAGCTAGACCAGCTCCCCGGAGAAGCAGAAGCGGGATCAGCCTTGCTTTGGAGCAGAATCCCTGGAGAAGGCTTCCAGGGAGGCAGTGAGGCTCACGGTGAGTGAAATATACAGATGCAGGAGGGAGAGAGCTTTTCCTCCAGAAGCCGCTGTCTCGCCCTGTTCGCTTTTCTTGGAGTGCTCTAGAAGCTGGTGGTGAAAG